AATCTAAAGAACACTATTTTGGAGTCTTTAGATCAATTCCGCTCATCGGCATTAACATAAATTTAGTTAAAATCTTTTGAAAAAGTTCCTTAAATTACTACTGATCCTAGTTCTAATTGGTTCTGATGTATATTAACCATATATAGTTGTCGAAACACAATATTTCTATCAGTTTTCACAAAAAATACTAGAATTCCGAACAAGAAAGAGCTTTTATCTATGGAAAATTGCCAATAAACAATCAGAACAGATCATATTGTTAAGCGTGTTAATTTAAAATCTTATTTAAGTTTGGACAAGCGATTGTGATTTTAAGATGATTATTTTTTTCAAAAAAGAATTTTTGGTCTACGTTTTTTTGCTACAAACATAATTTATGATACCGCAAAATTTATCATTTTAATATTTTTTGTCTCTTCACAATTTTAACGGAAATATGTCGTAGTCAACAAAATATCTTACAGACGCAATAATATTTTAAAAGTGCCTTAACTACACCAAGTGGTTATATTTTGAGTTTCTTGACAATTAAGTTTGACTTTATATTGGAACTAAAAAGTTTCAGTATTTTTTTTTTTCCATTAATTATTTTGATAAGAACAATAACTTTAAAACTTAATGTTGTAAAGTTATTGTCCTAAATAGTTTTATTTTAGGATTAATAGTAGCTTTAGTTTTCAGGAAAAAGGTGAAAATTAGCGGTTGAGGGGGGTAAAAATTAGCGGTTGAGGGGGGTGAAAATTAGCGGTTGAGGGGGTGAAAATTAGCGGTTGAGGAGGTGAAAATTAGCGGTTGAGGGGGGTGAAAATTAGCGGTTGAGGGGGTGAAAATTAGCGGTTGAGGGGGTAAATTAGCGGTTGAAGAGGTGAAAATTAGCGGTTGAGGGGGGTGAAAATTAGCGGTTGAGGAGGTGAAAATTAGCGGTTGAGGGGGGTGAGCATTTTTCAGTGATTAATCTTGAGAACATTTATTTATTAGGAAAAATTTTTTATTTAAAAATTTATTAACAACCATTCTTAAAATCTAAAACAGTTAAATAAAAATACAATCAAAACGTAAGTTATGGATGTACTTTTTAAGTATAACATCATGTTCACAAAACTTACAATTTGTTTTATGCAAATAATTTATAAAATACAAATAAATTTTTGAAATTTTAAGGCTTACAAAAAAAATTTTTTTGTTGAGACTTTTGATAAGAAATACAATATCTAAAAAATTATTTGCATCCACTATAACTATTCCAATTGTAACAAGTTTGCACATTTTTAAATGTGTTAATATGTCACTTAAAATATGTTAATGAGTCACTTAAAATGTGTTTATCAGTTACTTAAAATGTGTCAATGAATTACTTTAAATGTGTTGATGAGTTACTTAAAATGTTTTAATGAGTTAACACATTTGGTAAAGGTAATGATGAATTCTATAATTTCAGATAGTAGCACTTTTTATTATATTGTTTATTTAATTAAAGCAATATAATTGCATCACTTTACTTCATCTAAGGTTTCTTTAAAACCTATAACAGATTTTATAAATCTTCTACTTTAAAATGGAAACTGTTAACAAAAATCATGGTTTATTAAATAGCGAAATATAGCCATTTTATAGCAAAGAAAACTTAGTTCAAGTTTTCACTGATGTATAAAATAAGTTATTGAGTGCATGCAAAGCTGCGATAGTGTATAACATTTTGTAAACCAAAATTTTAAAAATTATGCAAATACAACATGAGGAGGCAATGCTTACTGAATGGCTCATACAATATGGATTGATGGGATTGCATATGCAATGGGGCACACACACAACAGCTTAATATCTACTGCTGGTCATTTTGCAATTAATCAGAGTTGAATATTTTTTTATGCAACTTATATATAATTTATATCAAATCAAATTTCTTCGCCTGCACAGGTTGTCAAATATACACAGAGACATCAAAATATAACTTTTTTTACCTTGGTAGCAGTTATTCAAGCCGCCGAATAAAAGCTTCTGAGCAGAACATCATATTTTCTGATTGTTTGATCATGGTTTGATCATTTTATCTTAATTTACATGATGTTGTTAATGCTTGCATTGATTGGTATGTTTAAATTTAGTTGTTATAAAATTTTATTTCTCACACGTAGAAGAAAAATAGTTTACATCAACAAGCTGATTGAAATACAAGATGCCTAAGCGCCAATTGTTTTTGTACATAAGTTTTGTTCCGATTTTTTTTGTCAAAATTTGCTTAAGTTAATGAAGTTGTCAAGGATAAGTTATCGATGAAGAAGTCATAAAAATAGTTCGAAGGGAACCATTATATTTTTTCTTAATATAGAAAATTTACTGATCAGAGTGAATGTTTCATCTGAAGATTATAAGTCCTGAAAATGATCAGAATAAAGGTATAAATCTAAAGGAATAAAGGTATCATCTAAAGAATAGAGGTCAATTATAGGTAAAAAAAGAGTTATGCATTTTCATATATTTGGTGATGGTTTAAACTGTGGTTAATGTCCAGTTAAAGCAAGAACCACTATTCTTTTAAACAAGCAGATGGAATTTTCTATAAAATCAAGGTTTATATAGACATACAAAATGTTTCACACAATTTCTTTTGTTGGCTCAAAACTTAACTTTTATAAACCACGATAATTAAATCTATGATTAGATGATAAATTTTATGCCTTGAAAAGTGCATTTTGTAGAAAATACTAAAGAAGATACTATACTCCTTCCATACAATATTCCTATTCCAGACAATATGTGAACACTGCCATCTACATTGCCAATCACCCAATGTTTGAAATTTGGTTATTGTCGCATGACTCATGTCATTTCCTAACTGGAGCAGATATGTTCTAATTAAATTTTATTTACTCTCCTAACTGCAGCAGATATGTTCTCATTACATTTTACTTACTCATCTAACTGCAGCAGATATGTTCTAAATAAATTTTACTTACTCATCTAACTGCAACAGATATGTTGTAAAAATATTTTACTTATTCATCTAACTGCAGCAGATATGTTCTAATTAAATTTTATTTCCTCATTTAACTGCAGCAGATATGTTCTAATTAAATTTTACTTACTCATCTAACTGCAGCAGATATGTTCTAATTAGATTTTACTTACTCATCTAACTGCAGCAGATATGTTCTAGTTAAATTTTATTTAATCATCTATCTGCAGCAGATATGTTCTAATTAAATTTTCCTTACTCGTCTAACTGCAGCAGATATGTTCTGAATAAATTTAACTTACTTATCTAACTACAGCAGACATGTTCTAATTAAATTTTACTTTTTTATCTAACTGCAGCAGATATGTTCTAGTTAAATTTTATTTACTTATCTATCTGCAGCAGATATTTTCTAATTAAATTTTACTTACTCGTCTAACTGCAGCAGATATGTTCTTATTAAATTTTACTTACTCATCTAACTGCAGCAGATATGTTCTAATTAGATTTTACTTACTCATCTAACTGCAGCAGATATGTTCTAGTTAAATTTTATTTAATCATCTATCTGCAGCAGATATGTTCTAATTAAATTTTCCTTACTCGTCTAACTGCAGCAGATATGTTCTGAATAAATTTAACTTACTTATCTAACTACAGCAGACATGTTCTAATTAAATTTTACTTTTTTATCTAACTGCAGCAGATATGTTCTAGTTAAATTTTATTTACTTATCTATCTGCAGCAGATATTTTCTAATTAAATTTTACTTACTCGTCTAACTGCAGCAGATATGTTCTTATTAAATTTTACTTACTCATCTAACTGCAGCAGATATGTTTTAATTAAATTTTAATAACTCGTCTAACTGCAGCAGATATGTTCTAATTAAATTTTACTTACTCACCTAACGGCAGCAGATATTTTCTAATTAAATTTTACTTACTCATCTAACTGCAGCAGATATGTTCTAGTTAAATTTTATTTACTCATCTATCTGCAGTAGATATGCTCTAAATAAATTTTACTAACTCGTCTAACTGCAGCAGATATGTTCTAATTAAATTTTTCTTACTCACCTAACGGCAGCAGATGTTCTAATTAATTTTTACTTAATAATCTAACTAAAGCAGATATGTTATAATTAAACTTTAATTACTTATCTAACTACAGCAGATATGTTCTAAGTAAATTTTAATTATTCAAATAACTGCAGCAGATATGTTATAATTAAATTTTACTTACGCAGCAGATATGTTCTAATTAAATTTTACTTACTCGTCTAACTGCAGCAGATATTTTCTAATTAAGTTTTATTTCTTTCTGAAGATATTCAAAATCCAATTGCAGAAACCTTTATCGATTTTTACTTTAAAATGCTATCTTATATCTTGGTGTTGACGCTCAAGTAATATATCGTTCTTAATCATTTTGGTCAAATTTTTAAAGGTATTAATAGGTTTATATAAATAGCTGTAAACATTTTAGAACCTCGTTGATTCCTGTCTAATAATGGATATATAGATTTATTAACATTTATTTGTTTGATTTTGTTTTAATTTATCTTGTTTATATATTTGTTGATTTTGTTTTAATTTATCTTGTTTATATAATGATAATTTTTTTAATGTAATTGTTTAATATATATAATGATAATTACTTTTTGTATAATAAAAAATACTTTTTAAATTTAAATATAATTTTGCTTTTGTTAAAACCCAATATAATATCCTTTCATAAAACTTTTTTTTTAATAAAATAAAAGACCTCTATTTTAAGGAAATGTTAAATGTCATGGTTCTTTAGCCAATCTTTCAAATAAGAGTTGCAAATAAAAAATTTAACAATATATAAATTTGATGTTACTTTTTGTTTCATGTCAAGTTCTTCATATTAAAATTCTTATATATATATATATATATATATATATATATATATATATATATATATATATATATCTTTACTTAAAGTCAAAAAAATAAGTTAATAAAAAAGAAAAATAATTTTTATTTACTTTGGCTTTTTTCTATTTGTGTTTTTTAGTTAATTAACTCAGTTGAAGAGCACTATAAATCTGATGTAATTTCTCACAACCACTTAATGATGGTTTTTGTACAAGAATTGTCTGTAAAACAAATGACATTAAAAAATGAGGTAAGCAAACTTAGTAAAGAGAATCTTGAACTTTGTCAGAAGTTGGAATTAGTAAAAAAATATGGTAAAGAGATAAATGATTTGAAGAAAACTGTGCAAATACAAGTAGATGAAAGTGCGAGTATTTTCCAAGGATTAAGTTTGCAGGTTAATGATTTAAAAGAAGCTAATTTCATGCAAGCGCCTGTTGATAAACACAATAAAAAGTTAAGTTTCATCGAGAGATCTCAAGAAAAACTAAATGAATCATATAACGATTTGCATCTGAGTCAACAAATTTTAGAAAATACGTCTTATGACGGGCATCTTTTGTGGAAAATATCTTCTTATAAACAAAGATCAATGGCTGCAATGTCTGGAACTATACCAGCATTACACAGTGCTCCGTGTTATACGTCGCGGTTTGGCTACAAGTATTGTCTTCGCTTGTATTTGAATGGAGACGGAGCAGGCAAGGGATCTTACATTTCTCTTTTTTTTGTTCTGATGAAATCAGATTATGATTCTCTGCATAAATGGCCATTTCAAAACAAAGTAACTTTTAGGTTGCGTGCGAAAAATCCCGAATATGATATTGTAGAGTCATTTACTCCAGATAAGAACTCTTCTAGTTTTATTAAACCAGTCCGTGAAATGAATATTGCTGCTGGTGTTCCATTATTTGCTAAAAAATCTGACATCAATGAAAACTTTATTTTGGATGATGCAATATTTATTGAAAGTAAAGTATATTTGTAGCAATACCTTTTGGAATTGATTAGAATAAATGAATTCTATCGATTTAAATGTTTGAAAAAATCATATGTGCGTGTCATAAAATTAATAATCTAACCTGTTCAAATCAAATTAACCTGTTCAAATAGTTGTGCAAATTTTTTTTATTCTAATCAAGTCAAGTTTTTTTATGTGTTATTTTTTATAAGTTGTATATATCATCTTTGTTATATAATTATAATTTATATCATCTTTGTTATATAATTATAATTTATATGTTATATAATTAAAAGTTGTATAACATGTATTTATAAGTTTACTTATAAAAAAGATTTTTAATGCAAGTTTACTATGGTGATCAATTAATTGTTATTTATTTTACTTTTATACGAATTGCCTGTAAGGTATATATATATATATATATATTATGGTTTTTGTAAATAAAGTTATACTTAAAATAATATACTGTCTTAAAACAATCATTTATTTTGCATTCCTATTTTTTATCTGGGACGTAAGCCAAAATGATCGTCCGCTTTTTATACTTAAAGCGGGGCTTATAGGGACACTTAAGAAACAAATGCAAGTTGCGAATAAACTATTTATAGTTAACACTTATTTTTATAAATTGCCTAAAATTCATCAATATAGGAAAACGAATAAACAAAAAAAGTATTTCTAAAAATAAGCTACGACAACCTAAGTAATGAAACTCTAGACTAGCAAAGTTTATTATATATAATAAATGTTTGGTCGTGAATCGCTTAAAATAATACTCAATTTTTTTTCCTGTTTACTGACGCATTTGGGTATTTTTAATGCATTTTGGAATTTCTAAAATTATTTTTTTTTTACAATAATGAAGCGCAATTTATCAAATAAAAAAAAATCTTTTAGGCTAAAAAAATGACCAAGACAAACATTAAAAGGCTCAAACTTATGTTTGGTCATAAAGATGGAGTTTTTCAACAGCAGTCAGCAAAAAAGTTCAACTGTACTCAGCAACACATCAGTAAAACATTAAAAAAATGACAATTGCAAAAACTAGCAATGACTAGCAAAAAGCATTAGCTAGGACTAAGTGCAGTCGATTGTATCAGAAATTCTAAAATCGTAAACCAATTGAAGATGAGTCATTTTTTTTATACTAGCAATGTAAAATCTACTCCATCTACAATTAAATAACAAACAAAACTGAAGTTTCTAAAAAAATTGCTTGCATAGATTGCTTTTTTTGAAAACTTTTCTCAGCCAGGGCCGTCACGTGAAGATTTAAAAGGGGGATGACGTGTCTGTTTTTTGCCAAATCAAGTCAAAATTTTTTTGACTTTTTTGGCTGAGCAATTTGCTCAGCCAAACCTACTATTTTAACTAGTTAAAATTAACTTTAATTTATCATGAAATTTAATAATAAAGAGCAAAAAATTACATCTAGAAAATAAGAAGAAACTTTCCATATAGAATCCCCTTTAAATAAATAACACAACACCAAAATGATGTAAGATATATAGCATGCACCTTGTATCATTTTGGACATATTTTTTATTGGGAATACTCTCTTCTATAAAAATGTTTACTTCACATGCAATAAATTAAAAAGCTAGTATTGTAAAAAAATGTATATTATTATTTAACATCGAAAACATTTTTTCCAATCCTAGTTTGAAAGTTACAACATAATGCACTGTGTGCAACATTTTGCTCTTTTATTTTTGTATCTGCATATGTGGCTAAAATGTGCTATTTTTCTGTCGCTGCAGCCGGATTTAAAACTTCAACAGTGTTTGGTTGTGCATCAATTCGCTGTGTATCTATTTTTTAAAAAGCAAAGTTATATTTATCAGATAATCAAGTATATTATTTAGTATATAACATACAAAATGGTTTTTTTTGGATAAATTTTCATTATATTTATTTATAAATTTCATAAAAAACTAAAGTAAACTTTCTAAACTTGGTACGTATTTGATTAAAAGAGAAAATTGCATACATTTTTCAGTAAAATTATTTTACAAATATAAATTTAATTCCAGAGCAATGTTTTAAGTTTACATCGTTTTTACAATAAATTTCCTCATGAAACTAAACAAAACTTTCTAAAATTCGTAAATATTTATGACAATTTTAATTATAAAGAAAAGAAATAAGTATATTCTTATTTTGGCATCATTTATTTTACAAAACAAAGGTAAAGAAAAACTCTATACCTAATAAATGCTCAAAATTTAAAAAAGAATTATCTTCACCCATTTTAATCTAAAGAATATTCCAAAAAGTTGTTGAGAACGAAGCTCGTTATAGTAGCTTCGGAGGGTTCTTTTCCAGATTTCAAAATAAGATTTTGGTTGGCGGTCGTTCGTATAATTCAGAATGAGGTGTACTTAAAGAGCATGCGGATCATCCGTTAAAAACATTCTAGGTCTGCAATTTTTCGAAAATTCAAAATCTTATTTTGAATTATACGAAAGACCGTAAGCCCGTCAAAACGTTAATACCGTTCGGAATCAGTTCAATAGTGCACATGCGTTTCCATTAAAAAGTCTGCAATTTTTTAAAAATCGGAAATATTAGAATGAACGACATTAAATAGCGTTAACCTGTTTGGTCAGATCAGAATGATCACCCTGCTACTGGTCACATCTAGTCCAGTACAACCATAAGACATGGTTGTACTAGATGTTACACATCCTGCTGCCTCGGAGAGTTTGCTTTTATAAGTAAAGGTCGGGGAAATTAACTATGATATAAAATACCTTTCCTTTAGGCTCTATAGTAGTTAGAGTTGGTATCTCAAAAAAAAAACTCATATAGAACATGTTTTAATTAGATCTGGATACTGTCTACTTTGCTAAGACCTTTGATGTAAACTTGTGTTACATCGCTTCCTGCTTATGATAATGAACACTGGATGAATAATAACAGGGCCATGTTATCATAGATGATGTCACTGTTAGTGCATTCTAGATCAGGCAGGCCTTGAATATCACATCTCTTCTGCGACAGCTTTTGGCTCAATGTGACTGGTGATTTTTAATCCTAACAGCTGTTTACTGCTAATAACTATAGCAGTAAACAACTTTTAGAGTTTAACAACCTAACAATTGTTAACTGCTAAATCACAATGTTGCAGATATTCTTATGTTGATGAATGGAAGCACTTTTACTGATTCCGTTTATTTTCATCTTCCTGAATTAATGAGTCGTAAATCTTATTTAAAATTTTTTGCAAAGTATCAGTTATGGTGGACTCTTAATTATGCTCATTAGTTGTGTTTAATAGATAGGATAAAATATTTATGCTATTTATTAAAGAAAAAGAACTTTAAATATTACTTCATTTGGTTAATCTTTAAGTAAACAAAGTATTTAGCGCTCCTAATTGTGAAATTTTAGCAAAACAAATTTAAAACTCTTAATTGTGCTTACCATTTTTTACAACTTATTTCATAATGATTCCCTTTCTCTTCTAGACAAGGTTCAAAAATGTTTGCAAATATAGCTGGATCTTCTCCAGCTTCCTAGGTTTAGCTCCTGTCCCTCCATCATATGATGGCATCTTTTTTCCTTTTATAGATATTAATATAGTCTCAGTTTCATTAAGTTATCTCTTTTTATTCCACCAACTGTAACTCTATCTGACATTAGTTGTCACTCAGCAAATTTGCATCAACCTACTGTATCTGTTCCTTCACGCTCTGAAAATCTTTATTAATGCATTATCATTTTTTCATTATCAATTCTCTGCTGTTTTCATGTTTTCCTAAATCATATAATTTGCAATTTTTTAGCTTTTTCAACTTTTTTCTTAAATTTCCTTGACAATTCTTCTTTTACTTTACCTTTTCTTGCTTAAAATTTAATTTTTTAGGAATTTTTGACCTTTAGACCTTTGCCTTTTTTTATATTTTAAGATACCAAATCTTTTGCAATGTCTTTAAAACTATTTAATTCCAAAATTAAATAGTGTAAAGACAAAGGTTTTATATATATTGCAAAAGGTTTCATTCAAAAACAATCTAGAGAAAAAAAAACTTTTGTTCTCTAGTTTTGTTCTTGTTAAAAAAAATAATGAAAGAAAAGATTACAAATAAAAATTGCAATTCCTTTGGAAGGTGAAAACCATGAGATAGAGTTAAACAAGATTAGAAACTTCTAGAAAACAGTTACTTGATGCAGTTTATGTCTGCCCAAGATGAATACTTTGATAGATATGCGATCTTTAGCTTTTACTCAACAAAAGCCCTAAGGTAGGTAGGTAAGGTAGGGGTGTTTTAATCTGAGCACCATTTCTTACTTTTATTTTTTACATTCTGCTTAGTAACATTTCTAACATTTATTTCTTACTTTCCTTATGAAAGCAAATTATACAAGGCAGCTTGATATGGATCAGATCTTGCCTCTCTCAGTCCTTTAACTCCAAAACATGAACTTTGATGTTTGCAGTAGAGAGATGAGTTGAGCTCTGTACCACCAGGAGTTTGTAATTATTCAGTAATCACTTAGATTCACTTAAAAATAAGTCAACTACAGCAGTATGATTATTGTGTATATTATTTTCGTATAAGTATCTTTTTATCCACTTTATTTTCTTTAATTATTGGTGTTTTTAAATTTAATCTCATTTTACAGACACAGTTTAATTTTGTTGGTTTTTAAAATTATTACACAGTTGACAAACCAAAGTTTATTTTTTTTTTGGTGTTTTAAATTTAATCACAGTTTACAAACTTTTAATCGTGTCTTACTGGTGTTGTTTTTAAATAAATATGTATTTAAGATTTATATCTATAAAAATATATAAAATTTGTATGAAGTTAATTGTTTATATTTCAAAACTGGACTAATACAATTAAACACAATTTATGATTTTGTTGTGTGTTTATCAAGAGTTTTTTTTTAAATTTTTTTCTTTTAGATTTTTGAAGACTATATTTTAAATAATTTTCAACAATGGAAGATATTCTAAATGAAAAATTTTGCGATTTCAATCCTGTTGAAAAGGCTGTAATGCATTACTGCAATACTCATTTTCATCCAATTAGAGTTGATTACAAGGAAAAATTTGTAAGTTACAATAAAAAAGTGAAGCAAGAATCACAAATTAAAAATCAACCTTTAGATTCAATATATGCATGCAGGTTTACATTTATATTTATTTTTTTTAGTATTTTTATTCATTAAACGT